AACAGATTAGAACAAAAACAAACAATGATCGTCATTAAAGAAGGTGTTCGAATTTACGACTCAGGAACGTGATGCAGACCTCACTTCTCCGGCGCACGGGAGATCTGCATCACGAATAGAAGATCGCATGGAAGATGCCTGACGCACAGTTCCTATATCACGGTCCGGGTCGTAATTTCGAATACCTTCTTTGATGACGATCGTTGTGTCTTTATGTTGCTTTTTCCTTGTTTTTACTGTACTCCAAGAACTAAACATGTTTTCTCAGCCCATTTGTGTCCTTTCTTTCTTGATTTTTGTATCTTCACTACCGCGCCAGGAAAGCGTTTCCGACCATGGATTGCTATGTGATTTCCAATCGTACTCTCTCTCCTGAAAGTTTGTCACCTCTGTACTGATACACCCTGTATATTGGGCAAAAGTTGAAGAGGAAATGATATTAAAACATTTTTGCTGGGATTTAATTGAAATTCATGTTCTCAGATTTTCGTTATAATATGGCAGATTTTAAGAAAATCAGTGTCTTGAACTGACTGGACTTGCATTGTATAGTATTTATCCAGGGCTTATTTACTAATCAAGAGTGTGGATTCAACTCCCTAGCAAGGCTTGGCTGTAGTAATGTCGTCTTGCTTTCCCTCCCGATGTAGTGTTTAGTGACTGAAATGCAGACAGCCCATTAACCTGGTATTGAATCCGGCTTGAACTCTCAGTATTCAGTGGTCCCAATCACTTGGCCACTGATGCTATCACGGCGGAAACTAAATGCTGATGCAATGTGAAAAATAGTGATGCAAAGTGAAAGGCTTCGCATCGGCAGCTGATTCGCTGTTTCAAAAATCACGTTCCTAATAGCAATAAGGATATTGCTTGTCAAATGCCGCCACAGCCGGTATAGTGGTTGGTGACCGAAACGCCGTCACATGAACTTCCGACCTAAGGTTCTACAATAATCAGAGTTATACCCATGCGACGGAAAAGAATCTACCATCCACTGCCGGCGGCATTCACTAAATCAATGATAGTAATATTACAATGCTAAATTGCCAACGTCATCTATACAATAATTTTTACATAATAATCCGTATGAAAAATAAATATACAATCAATTAATCATTACATTGTCATGGATAGGATCGACGTTGTGGAGAGTGGAACTTATATATTAACCAGTTTCTAAACTATGTCTTCTCCAATACGTCATAACTTCATATTCTTATCAGTTACACACCTAATGAGATGTGTGTCCGTATTATTGGTGCAGTTATCCACGGGTCCAGTCATATCAGTTCAGGCAGTTGATAGTTCTATAGCCAAAGTATATGATGTTTGTAGACTATTCTATGATCATATAACTGATTCTAAGTTAACTTTTGATAAATTCGAAGTATATGTTTTGTTAAGTCATTTTCACGTAAATACTACTTTCCACTTCGATACATCATAACTTAGGTCCTAACAGTTTGCACTCCTCATTAGGTGTGTCCATAGCAATTTCACACTGTGTCCAGTTATCCACAAAGCATCACGAAATTGCAGTTGGGAAGTCATTGAATATGTACACTATTTTCTATTATCCACAGTAAATGTTTTGTAAATAATATCTTGGCTCCCAGATGATTAAAAACAGAAGGAAAGAAAACTAATTCTTAAAATTTTTTGAATACAATTCTAAATTGTGCAAAACTACAGATTTGTTATACAATGCCAGTCTATACAAATTGACTGGTATTCCAACAATATAAAGCACATATTCTAAAAAATGCTATTATTTATTCCATTACATGTATCTAATTGCGTTTATAAAAAGGCTACAATAATACACAATTTCTTCAAGTAGTTAAAACGGCTACTGGAAAACAGAAACTAATTCCTAATTATAATAGACATAAAATACATAATTATTCAGTACACATTATTTACCAATCAATCATACTACAAATGTACGTGTTTAAAAAATGAACTGCAACTAAATTTTCATTACAGTTAAAATAATAAATTTTTACTATACAATTAATAACACATTTAAACAATTTCAATCTATACAAATTGACAGGTATTCCCTACAACGTGACTGCGGTAGCGATAGGTCCGGGTTCGAATCGGGGAGAAGGCATGGTTGTAATTGTCCGTCTCCTTCATAGGAGATAACGGTGGCCACTGATTAGGTGCTTCCATAATGAAATGGCCAATACTTCCGGCCATTTGTAAGTGGCGCAAGGCTAATGGTTATTAAATAAAGCACCTCGCTCTTTAAAAAATATTGTTTGCCAAAAGAGTTTTATTGCTACCTTAAAATTAAACTTCACTTTTTACTTAAAATATTAATTTGAAAAGCGATATATATGTGCGTTTGTGTGTAAGAACTACGACCGCTTGCATTATGCACATAAGTACTTTTTATTCCCAGCTCGATCAACTTTCTGAACAATCCCCTCCAACTAATTAATTAACATTTATAACATATATTTTAAAAAAAAATTCAATAATGCGAATTTGTTATTTTATTTCTTAACGTATTATTAAGTATTTAGAAATTTTTAATCGTTCGATTCGGGGTGTGGGACTGGACCGAGGATCCCAGCTGTCTTAAACACCGTTTCATGTCAGCCGCTCCTTCTCTCTTGACCTTCTATTTGTTCCAATCTATTACTGTATTATCAGCCACATTCAGGCATCGTATTCATTAATAGATGCATTTTTGACGGTATGGTTCCATAACTTTGGAAATAATCTACTGTTTACTATTTTGCAAGATACAGGTTTAACAAGTGTTTAACAAGTTTTTAACAATTTGTTTCAAAATGCGAGGGAAAATATACAGCAGTAAATATTAATATATGTCCTTATTCATAAAAACAAAACGCGACTTATCAAGAATCAAATGAGTTTACATCAAATTAAAGCGCAAATGTTACGAGTGTGTTGTTACGTCACACTTATATAAAAGTGGCATTAAATCGCACTGCTTGCCATAGTTTCATGGTCGACGGGATAATACATAAGAGCAGAAAATTGGATGGAAATTTATAGATGCCTTCGGAGATTCCCTCATCAATACAATCTTAAAAAAAATTGAATATCATTAGTTCTTTCAACTTTTCTAAAATATATGCGAGACACTGAAAAATAAATGCGCTATAATCTATTGAATGAAAACCAAACAGAAATTAAAAAAAGAATTTGTAGTTACCTTGAATGCTCATTTCTGCTACCAAAGCGTGAGTGAAGTATTTGTAAGTCACATCATACCGGACTTTGGTTGCGTCCTGGTCAAATCGTTGCACATCAGATGCAGGTACATATCTGTTGAATAGAAACAGCAGTTCTTTCTCCTTTTCAGACTTTGGAAAGTTTTCTACTTGTAGAACAACATCACTCACATCTTTGCAAGAAGATTCGATTTCAGTCGCTGCTGACAGCAAGTGTATCAATGTCATAATTCGCACATTTGAAGCCACCAAAGGCAATCCGTGCTCGGCTCGACTGGCAGATTCACTATGGAGGTAAATGACGAGAAAAAGAGCTATTTCACATGAATTCTCATCTTCAGTCCACCTGTAAGGAAATTTACATTTCAGGCAATTACAATGTACGCATATTCTTAAGATATAAGTAAAAAAATAGTGTGAGGCAAAACAATATATTGTACACCTCATCACCCAAACTATTGGACTTTAAAAACCGGGACTTTATCACCCAAACTATTGGACTTAAAAAAAAAAAAAAAAAAAAAAAATCGAATAGTTTTGAATTATTTCTTTTCGATCGAATTTTTGGAATCTTAGCTTTCGTTAGAATGAACGGACATGACTATATTCCCCAAAGCGGTTTAGACAGTGTCAAAAGTAAGGATTGGAAAAGTTGTCATTTTAACAAATACTCAACATTAATCAATGAGTTAATTTTGCTTTCTTAACACTTATATTTTAATGATATTCGCGATACACAAATATCAGGCACGAAAGGTGACATTTTTATATTATATTTATTTCAAGGATATAATAAATCAAGGGTTCCCAAAGAAGTCAGTGTAGATCCCTGGATGTAGATGAAGTTTTAAAGGAGGTTGATGAGGAACAAGGCGTCGACTGGAATTCGATAGCCGAATATGTGTCGGAAATTAATCGGCATGATCAAGATCCCATTTATTATAAAAACTTTATGAACAAAACTGTTAATTAATTTTTACAGGAAAATACAAAAAAATTATTTAATATACTTTAAAAATCCATAGTATTTTTTTAAAAACACATAAAAGTCTTAAGCAAAAAGTGCAGTATAAAAAAGTAAAACTGATGAACACAAAACACAATAAAAATATACGAAGAAAGCAAAATTTATGAACCACAACAAAAATCTGCCTGTATTCTTTCACCCATACTGGCTGCTGAAAGTTGTTAACAGAAGTTATGCTCAAATGCCAATTACGTCACCAATATACAAGTGCACCCTTTACATTTGACAAGAATACAACAAACTAAGTACTGTTCCCTCTACCTGTCATTACAGTTATGTTATATGCTTTATAAAAGGAGTTCCAAACATTATGCACGCGGGAAGCATACAAATCCTAGCGGATTACCGGCCTTTTGCTTTTTTGAGATACCATCCTTTTGCCGCTCATCTCCTAAAATAAGAGGAGTATCAGGAGTATCTCCGTCTTCGAACACATCAGCCTAGCAACTAGATTCCAGAAGCAAGGTTCCTTAAGGGAGAAAATCACTCTATGGAATCACAATCAAAGCTGCTATACATAGATCATAACCATCAGGCTCAACTTGGGAAACATCAAGGAACTGGCAAGAGCAGACTAATACATTGCCTGCTGAAAACCAGTGTAACCCCAAAGTTCCAAATGCAAAGGGGGATCCAGGGCGTTACTAGGCCATTGGCTTCCCGCGTACTTTCCTAGGATTGCTGCTCCCAAATAAAAAAAAAATGCTCAATTATTAATAAAATTTTTATTTCATACTCACTAAGTACTTACATATGACAAATTGTATGAAAAGTACTTAAAACGAATTTCAGGAATTTAAAATATTTAGTCGTGGTATTGCGAGAGTCCGGCTGCCCCTGATTTTCGCCGCCGCGTACTTTTACGCGCTGCACCCCCACTAGGAACGGCCCTGAGAAGATCCTTGCTCCCGCCAACGGTTTTACGCGAGAGAGTTGCTGTTAAACCACGAGAAATAATTATTTAAGCTGTCAAAAATATGAACGCAAATATTTTTCTATAGTTAGTAATTAATAAGAGAGTTTCAATAAGCGTATTTGTTTTAAAATTATTCATTTATAATTATATATTTCTAATTTTAATTTTAAACGTTCCGGTTTTGATAGGAATTATCTTAGTTCGAAAATATGGTCCCGGCCAATTTGTTATTTTGTCCCGGTTATTTGTAAAAAAATTGAAAATGCCAAATATTATTGTTTTCAACAATGCGTATCACAAAATCGAAGTACAGATCTCGACTTAAAGACGAACATTTTGATGTCAAGCAGGAATATCGCCAGACTATCCTAAATATGAAGCAATGGCCTATGAAATGCAAAACCAAAGATTACAAACTTTTGATTATATTATTTAGTAATTATTTACATAAGAATACAGTCAATAATATTTATATCGTAAAATTATAATTTTTTTTTTTTGGGCATATTAGTTGTCAACCTATAAATCTACCTTTAAAGGATAAATGTGCTTGCCATCCCACCGATACTTCTAGAATGGGCTTTGGTATAAAAATGTGAGGGATCCTTGTTCTAAGGTACAAAAAGGTTGGAATGCAAGAGAAAACTTAAGAAAATCAATGAAGAAATAATAAATTATTAACTGAGAAGACTTTTGGCATAATCATATCTGTTACCCACAGTTGACAAAATGGCAGCATCTGTGCCTGATCGAATCGTTTCTTATGGTGATCCGTCATTACATTCATCATTCAAGTTCACCTGAGGGAAGAAACATTATAATTTCAGTGCCGACCAGCGGTAAAGTTGTTGAACACTAGTAGTTCTGTACGGAATTCGTATCCCACCGAACTGGCTGGCTGCATGGTCGGTTTTCATAGTTTCCCTGTGTAACGGGCACACTACCGCCCAGGCAGTGAAGTTGTTGAACACTGGTAGTTCGGTACGATGCTCTAATCCCTGCGAAACGGCTGACTGCGTAGGCGTTTCTGTGATTTTTTCCCTATATATAACGTGTATACGAGCCAGTTTCCTTTAAAAGGTCTCCCAGAAAGGTATTTCTCCCTTTAGGCAGCTATCCCTGGAATGTTTTGCCTATAACCAAACTAAAAACAGTATAATTTCACTTTGAATTTCAGTTTTTGCAACATCACATAAATCCAAAATTTGAATGAGCGAACGAGTCTTCGTAACTCAATTTTTTTTTATATTTCTTTAATATGGATTGTAGTTTTAAAGACTTTAAAATGTTTGCCGAAAAATCTGACATGACAAGCTTAATGCAGTTTCCTGTTAGTTGCAATATATGAAGGAGTAATAAGGAGAAAGCTTTTTTTTTTTTAAAGCCAAATGTTGACTTACGGACGCAAAAATTTTGCTTGCTGTTTCTGACGTTAGTGTAAAGTTGAAACGTCATACAATTTTTTTTTTTCGAACAGATATCTTCACTACATACGTAGTGATAAATCTGCGTCATGTTTGCAGTATTGGTTCTTCAGATTCTCATAGATGAAACTGGAAGAAAAGACAGATGACAAGGTAATTTACGGACTTACACCACGGAAGAAGGATGGAATTAATTTTGGACTTACTCTGTTTCTACCTCGGTAGTTTGAGTGGTTAAGTTTTCCTCTTGGAAAAATAAATGCATAAATCATTAGAAATGTCTAATTTAATTTCAAGTTTGAAAAGTATCTACTTGGAACTGCTTGAAGAACTGAAAACTAGACCAATACGAGGCGAAATTCTAACTTACAAAATTACAGTATGTGTTTATACCTGAACTAGTAACGTACTACTTATTACATACTAAACTAATATCGTAAACTTCTATTTACATTAAGCGTAAACATAAGTTTAAACCAATTTTTATGTTGGAAATAAATACTAAATATAGCTAACTTAATTTTCAAAAATATATAAATAGTTAAAAATAAACATGAATAAATTTCCCTGCTTATGAAGAATTAGTTTTTGCATTAAATTTTCAAAAGTAATGCTATTATATTAATCACAAATAATTCCCATTGCAAAACTATTAAATAAAAAAAAATTCAGAGTACATTTTCAGATTATTTGATAGAAAGATCTGTAAGATCTTATAGATCTTTTTCTGTTAAAATGCGAGAAAGGCAGCTAAATTTTAAACATTATATCTTTAGTGCTCTTATATCTGGGAGGGAAATACCAGCTTCTCCTTTTGAAAAGTCGTATGATTTTAAGGAATGTAGATGAGTATTATATATCGATGGGTGGGAGATATGTAAAATGGAATAAGTATACAAAGTCATTCAAAGGTACCTGGCAAAACTGTAAAGGTATAAAGCGAGCAAGTAAATGTAGAAGAAAGCTAATTTTGTAACGGAGTGTAATGAGTGTGGAAATGGCGCAAAGTGTTATGTCGCGAATTTTAATTCAAAAGCTTCTGTTGGCATAAATCATCATACCGCATGCGGATTTCGAGTGGTATGCGTCGCTTCATGGATACGTCTCTTGGATCTCGCTGACATGCATTCTATGATTGGAGCTGCGGATGTGAACAGAGCAGTTGCTCAAAGGAGATATTCGGGAATTGTTTTCTTACGACCTTAGATTAGCTGCTCGATTTCAGCCGCAGTTGATAAAATGTCAGTCGGCGATATCCGCGTTCGTTTAGCAACAAATGCTACTCAAAAGCCACATCCGAAATTGTGATTTACACCAGTAGAACGGTTTTATCTGATTCTTAAGGGAGGGATGCCTTCATGGAAGGCTTTCAAAGGGAACTGGCTCATATGCACGTTAAACATAGGGAAAACCAGGGAAACGCCCATGCAACCAGCCCGCTCGCCTGATTCGAACTATTAGTATTGGTGTATTGCGAATACGGCAAAGCACACTAGGGCTATCTGCCTAAGGGGGAGGGGTGCCTTCGTGGAGGACTTTCTAAGGGAAACTGGCTCGTATACACGTTACACATGGGGAAAACCACGAAAACGCCCATGCAGCCAGCCCGTTTGCGGGATTCGAACCTCGGACCGAACTACCAGTGTTCAGCGATTTTACCGCTCGGCCGCTGATGGGCCCGAACTATTAGTGTTTGGCGACTTTACCGCTCAGCCGCTTATGGGCCATATAAAAATGTATTCGCATATAGATGTACGAATACACTTATACACCAATGTATTCATATACAATTGTAGAAATCCATTTAGTTTGTATACGAATGTATTCGTATATAAAATACAACCGTGTATAAACTAAATGCAAATGAAAAGCCCTGAGTAAGAATTTTTCTAAGGCACTTGTAACTCAAAGAAATTTAATAAATAGTTACTATCTGCGGTACTTGCATATTATTTAACCGTGAAACTGTCCTCAAGCAGGGCACTTTAACGTTATTTATAGATAAGCGTGACATACCAACAGACTCGTAACATCTGAGCTTTCGAGTGGTTCTAGATAACGCACATGTAACCACAACTGAATATCCATAAGCCAACTTTTATTTTTTTGTGAACAAGGATATAAATTGTCATTGATCTTTTTAATGTATTTTTTCTTGCATTCTGAAAAAATAATATTAACGTTCGGGATCCGACTTCTACAGAATAAGCAGTGGATTTTTTTCAATATCATGTTATCCTACCATAAAAAACGTTTGTATTAATGGACACTGTATCGTCAGCTAAATATGGCTGACAAAACAATAATGCAAGTATACTGGAACAATTGGCCTGCGGGAAGTTTCTACTCATAGCGTTTTAAAGAGAGCATGCGATAAAATCGAAGTTTCTAACAAAATAGCAGAACTCTATGAAAACCGTTTTACGAAGCTCGAAAACAAAATAGGCTTAATAATGATTGTTTATTAAATAAAAAGACTCATTTCGTTCAGAATTCCGCAGGATCGATTGGCGTAAATTTGGTGGCATTTCCACCAAATTTCATAGTTAGACAGTATCCAAACTTTCAGGGTAGACGGGATAATACATAAGTACCATCTCTGTTTATTAAAACAATTGGTAGTAACAGGACTGCCGCCACACACCTGATAGGATAATGCTAGTCTTCTGTCATCGCATCCTCATTCGCCAGGGAGATTTCAGAGACAATACGTCTCAATATTTTCTGTATTTTACCTTTATGGTGGACAAATTTGACGAGCTCTTATGTGTGAGGTCCCTCGTGGGATTCTGTGATAATCTCTGGTAAGAGCGGAATTAATTCCCAATGTAAACCAGAATATGCAACCAAAGCATCAAAAACAATTGGAACTGAATATTATACTATCAGATTCAGTAGAAAAGTATTTAGATATGTCCTTCGTTTCTTTAATTCGAAGAATAAAAATAAATTTGAATCATAATTTTTAAAATAATATTTCAAAACCGAAAAAATCCGCAATTACTTTTACACCTTGCTATATATATTTCTAACACTATTCTCTCTCTCTCTTTAAATATATAATAAATATGAGTATATAATATATAATATATATATATATATATACTATATACATTAGTCAATAAAGTCTGCGTACATCAAGAAAAGTATATGATATCCAAATTTTAAGGTGCGAAAAGAGTAGTTTCTTAAAGTTTTATTTTTTAAATATTTAGTTTCCATAAGGGACTTTAAAATTATTTAACAGTAATATTTTCATATCTAATAATTTATGCACACTAATTTTTAAAAGATAAGTGGCCAGAAATCAAAGCCAATAAAGTTTGCGTACAACGCGAAGGAGGCGGGGGATTTTTTATCTAACTTTTAAACTTCAAACTTGAGAATGCAAAGAAGGTTACACTTTCAAGGTCATTGACTTCCGAAGCAAATTTCACGTTAATTGGAAGTTGTTATTTCTATATTCTTTGACGAAAATGACAACCAATAAAGAAATTCCTTTAGTTACGAGACAACTAATTATAAAATTGAGAGATGAAGGTAAAACTCTTCGTTATATTGGTAAAACCATTGGAAAACCATTTTCTAGTGTGCAAAGAGTTATTCAAAACTATCTTGACACTGGTAGTCTTGCTGTAAAACCAAGATGTGCGAAACCGAAGAAGCTAACGCAGAGAGAAGAAAGAAAAACTCTTTTACGAATTAAACAAAATCCTAAACTTTCTGCTGCAAGCATTGCAAAAGACATTTTTTTAACTAGCAACAAGGAAATTGCTCCTGAAACTGTACGAAAAGTGCTGCGAAAGTCGTTTATCATGGACGCAAACCTAGGTCTAAGCCATACATTTCCGAGACGAATAGAAAGAAAAGAATTGCTTTTGCCAAAACATATTTAAACTCTTCACAGGACTTCTGAAACAATGTAATTTGGTCAGATGAAAGTAAATTTACAATATTTAAAGTTAATGGCCACTTTACTGTATAGAGAAAACCAGGAACAGAACTGAATCTGAGAAATTTAAATCCAACTGTCAAACATGGAGTTGGCGGTGTGATGGTATGGGGGTGTATGTCGTCGAAAGGAGTTGGAAATTTTAACATTATTGATAAAGTCATGGATAAGTATGTTTATTTGGATATTCTGAAGAAAAATCTACGAGACAGTGCCCGAAATTTAAATCTTTCTAATACCTTTATTTTCCAACAAGACAACAACCCGAAACATAAAGCTAAAATTGTGAAGGAATATCTCTTCTATCACACTCCAAGACTCCTCCACAGTCACCAGACCTCAATCCAATCGAACATTTGTGGGCAAAATTGGAGAAACGAATTCGAAAACACAATATTACGTCGCGAAATAAGCTAATTAGTAAATTGCAGGAAGAATGGGCGAAATTTACGTCGCATGACACTGAAAAACTAGTTCCGTCAATGCCCAGACGTCTGCAAGCTGTTTGAAGAATAAAAGGATATCCTATAATGTATTGAAGTAATGTAAAAAACTTATATTTTGCTTTTTTTTTTTTTTTTTTTGAAAAGTGTACGCAGACTTTATTGGCGGGAATTTTCTGAGTTTTTTTTTTGACAAAATATATTTTTGAAAAAAAGTAAAAAGTATTACACTGATATTATTTACTTTTTATTTAAGCTTACAATTTTAGCTAATAGAAAAAAAAATGCAATGATTAAAATACATTTTTCTATGCTTTAAGTGTGTTTTTAATTTAAAATTTAGTCTGTATGCAGACTTTTGTGACTAACTGTATATACTCATATTTACTTTTCGTGCTCAACTGCCTGAGTTAGGTTTTATTTATAATTTGTATTTTAACAACAACAACAACAAAAAAAAAAAAAAATTAAAACATGCATTATACTTGATATTAGCCTAATCTATTGTCTTTGGTTATGTCAGCTGAGTAGTGATTAGGCAGGTAAGTTCAGTTATAATCAGTGTAAAGGAAATCCAAATGCAAAAAGTGATTTAGAGAAGAAAAAAAGATTTTTTTACCATTCTATAACATTCTTCACTGCACCAAATTCCGCGAAATGATTTGCTATACGATCAGGCCTGTCTTTTACAAATGGTTGCCAGACTAAAACAATTTTCGATGTTTCCACACTAATATTCTCTGATATTTTGTTATATAAATCCTCATTGGGAAGATTCGAACTTAGGAAATTTGCACAACCATTGCAGAACCGCATTTCTAAAAAAATAAAAGAAAAAATCATTATATATTCATGCATATATTTATAATAAATTACGTAAAAATGAAATTGAAAAACTATTTTTGATCAAAAAAAGTATTAAAAATAATTGCTACAAAAAGAATTAATTCTTTGCAGTACGTTGTAGATTTTCATCTGCAGGATTACGAAACTGTATGTCATAAATGCAATTGAAAATAATTTCTCATTCAATGAATTCTACTTCTCGTCGGCCATGAAACTGTCGTCGTCGTTATGCAACGACGACAATATGTAAGAACCAGAATTTTTCTTAAAATGGATTTATATTTGTTTCAAAGTTAAGCTTACAGCCAAATCAAATAAATTATATATATATTTTCTACCCCTATGCCGAATTCGACACTAAGAACCTTTAAAAGAGACTCATCGTTTTTTCATTTAGTATTAATAATATCTGAAACATCTACATTTATTGAGTTGGTTCGGTTTATTTGGTTGTTTGATCATGGCAAAACACACAAGGGCTATCTACCCAAGGGAAGTGATGCTTCCGTGGAGGACTTTCTAATAGAAGTGGCTCGTATTCCGGTATACATGAAGAAAAACGCGAAATATATATATATATTCATTGCGACAAAGGGGAAAAAGTATTGTAATAAAATAAGAAAAGAATGACACTAAGGAAATTCAGCTCAAACACATCTTCAGCCTGACAATATTGTGCCAATTTTATTTGATTATAGCAAAGCACTCGAGGGCTGTCTGCCTAGGGAAGGCGGCTTTCTAGAGGGAACTAACTGGATCGTATCACATTACACAAGGTGAAATTGTCGAAAACGCCTATGCAGGCGACCTGTTTATCTAGAACCGAACATAGGTTGAACTATCAGTATTCGACGACTTTACCGTTCAGTCACTGGTGGACCAATATTGGAGCGAAGATTAACACTTTCACAGAGCAGCAGCCCAACCCTATCTAATGATTCACTGCGACATCCTTCGAGAATAATATTGTGGAGGGCGGCAGTTCTGCCCACTCCGAATTCGAGCAAACAGGAAAAATTTCGGAAAACGAGGAGACAAGAATTGCGCAAACAGGACGAATTTTTAAAGCAGATAATAATAATAATAAAAGAAAGAAAGAAAGAAACTATCCTTAACTTATGTCCTAAAATTACATAGGCTTTAAATATAGACAAAGCTTTAAATCATTTTAATTATGTCTCTTCGTTTATTACCAAAACTTTATTAATAAATGAAGTTCCAGTCACCACAAAAAAATTTAATTTTAACAAAGTACTTGGATATAACAGAATATGTTTAAGAACTTTTACAATTTAATAACAATTTTTCTGAAAACAGCATTTTTAAATTAAAGTCCTTATTAATATCACTTCAAACTGCAAATCTTATTTCGAAATTGCAGTATTCTCGGCTGGCATTGCCGAATTAACATATGAGCGAAAAAATTATACGCTATCAACGAAGTTTCTGTAGAATTTTCTGGCATAGTAAATCGAAAATTTATAATAATGTTAAGTATTTAAGTACTATTTTACCTTTGATTAAAAACTGCACATCTTTACTTCAGTTTGCAACTTTGCTTTTTAGTTGGACTACATTTAATTAGTAAATGCCTATGGGCTTCAAAACATAATTCGTACACTTCACAAAACAACTGAATATTTACATGATTTCATTCACTTTCGGTGAAAATGTGATACTTAATAGCAGTCACCATAACCATCCAATACATGTTATTTTGGAATAATTTTGTTGCTTTTTTCTAAGCGTAATAAACGTGTTTGCTACATTCGAGTACGCCTTTATGATGAACTCATTCGCAACAGATGTCAGTACACGCATTCTATTAAGAATTTCAGATTTAGATCTTGTTAGTAACAGAATTGTTTTCATTATAAAACAGGAAAAATATATTAAAATTCCCAACTGAAACCTATTAAAGAGGATCAATTTTGAGTGCGTGTGATTATGGCAAAGCCTCGAGGGCTATCTGCCCAAGGGGAGGGATGCCTTCGTGGAGGACTTTCTAAGGGGAACTGGCTCGTATACAAGGATCAATTTTGATCGAAGGGTCTGCTGAGAGTCGATAGCAAAATATGCACCGCGGTTGGTTGGCATAATCACGATCTTTTTTATTAAATGATAATAATTTTTTATTGATATAAAGCTGTATCATGCTGTAAAGAAGAAAAACGTGTAAAATAAATATAAAGGAAATAATACGCTAAAAGATTTTAATGTTTGCTTCCAAGAAATTAATATTTTGAATGTGCCAGCCTTGTTTATAGAACCGCTGAACTCCGATTATCTTATTTTATCATTATGATACAAGAACAGTTGATTGAACTAAAGGAGGATGTTGAAGTAAAAGTCTTATTAAAAACATATAAGTGTACTAAGTTATAAAAATCAAGTGCAGCCATCACATTTATTAAAACTGAATTTTCGTGCTATAAGAATCTGTGATTTTGTTCCTATTTGTAAAATTTAAAATAATAATGCTACAAAATAAGTTATCTTTAAGTTATTTATATGCAATTATTTGTATTATGATGTCAGTGTACTCTTATAATATATATGCTACCAGAAATGTATCAAATGCAGATATTCTTTACAATACGTTTCTAAGCAAAGTATGAAATATGAGAATTATAATAGTATATTTTCCCTAGACATTGCTTAAAATACCCAGATATTCTATAGAATAACAAATACTAGTTAGGCAAAGTATGATAAAAACTGATGATAAGGCTATTATTTAAAAGACTCGCATTCATCAAAAATGCTATTTTGAAAAAATAATGAAAGAGTGCCATTTAAGAAATTTTTATTCAAAATACTTAAAGAGGATTGAAGGTTATACAGGAAAAAAATTTATGGCTTTCTTATTAATGAAAACAATGTAAGAAGACGTAAAAAAATTATAGAATAAATGTATTAGATGTATGATTCGAAACTATTCGAAACGAATCGGAAATGTATTTTATTGTTTGCCGGTTTGTCATTCTACAGAATGCCTAAAAATTTTATGAAGTGTTAATTGTTTCATACACTGCCGGCAAGCTTTAGATATTCTTAAAATGTCGGCTTTCAGACATTGCCAGTAATATATTACATGATAAGTCTTATTAAAATAAATTCCTATAGTAAAATTTACGAAAAAAATCTTACCGATTCTCATTTATCCACAAATATCCAAAGAATTTTAACTTTCATTTCACTCTATAAACACATCAAGGAACTATAAACATTTGATTTCACAACGCAGCTGCAAGAAAACAGCCTCAGTCTCACAAGGCATCTAGAAATCTCGAAGTGAGAAAATGCTTGAATGTCGTTTCTTTTGTTATGAGGAGTGAAACAGCAACTGAATTCAGTAATCCCTAAACAGTCCTTAACGCAGCTGCAGTATGTCGGAAGAAAAGCAATCGCCAACTGGAAGACAGTAACAAAGGTTGGACAAACTAGTCTACGTTTTGAAGGTCAAAGATTATAGAATAGGAAAGGCGCTTATAGCAAGATAGATTCCTAGAAAATAACGTGCTGTGGGAAGAGTTATGCGAGACTGATGGAAGCAGCTTTATTTAAGTCGTTAATTTACTAATGAGAAGAGTTATGAGAGACTAAAAACAAAATAGAGGAATGCTTTCTGAAAACTTTTAAAAACATAATGGTTCTCACTATTATCTCATTTAAATTTAGAATTTTTGCTATGTCTGATGGCTCTTCTTTTTCACAAAAGACTGTAAATTTGTATTTTCATCCACAAAGAAATAAATTTTCTTTTAAAATTTGTTTTCTTACTTTCAGACATAGTTTGGGACTGAAATAAAATTTTGCAATAACTTCTACAAACGACAAAAACGTATGTGTTACTAATTCTACAAAGTTAATTAAACATTAACTATATGTGTTACTAATTCTACAAAGTTAATTAGTAACACATACCCAAATTTTTTAAAAAAGATTCTTCTAAAATCACAATTACGTAATTTGTGCAATCTACCAACCGAATACTTGGGGCACAAAATACTGTGTAAATGATGAACACGACTCAATCTAAAAAAATTTCGGTGTGAGAGAATACGGGTATTCCCGAAAATCACACTTCACTTTATTTCATTTCAATTTTTTGTGTGCGTGTGTACAAGTAAATAAATTGCTACTGTGCATTACATACGATGACGTAGTACATTACTTATTTTGTAAATGTTTAAGATAACAATCTTGTTATCGAAATGTGTGCTATATAAAGTGTAACAAAAGGGTTTTCACATATTCATTAACATGCTAGAATGAAACCATATTGCCTTGCTAGACGAGGGTTTCCGCCAATTTTCTTACACTGTAAGAGTATACAACCTGTACAGCTTATGGAATACTGCAGACTTTAGTCAATTACTAGACATTTTTTTAAATAATGATACTCAAAGAAAAAGATCTCATTAAACTAAACTTCCAATGTAATATACTTAATATTGAAATTTAATTCGACTAATTTTCGTGAAGTTTTCAAAAAATTTCTAGAGGGTAGTATCTCATTTCTAAATAAAAGTTTCTATTTTACATAATAGCCCAACTGATATTCTGCCCAAATCGCAAAACTATGTGCTTGATAAAAGTACACGTGAACCTAAGAAAAAATGTGTCTTCGTGGGCAAAGTTTGAAGGAAAATTGTCCGTAATCATATTACACACGATATATATAACAATTTCAAACAATATATATATATATATTAATTTAAATATATATATATATAATTTTAATCAATTATGCTTAATCACTGAAACTATAATAATATTAAATTGTAGCGTGTATGGTTATTTAGCTCATTTTCATTATTTTTTATTCTCCGGTGAATGGGCTGGCTTTATATGCTTTTCTGTAGTTTTGCTCACGTATAATGGGAATACCAGCCAATTCCCTTAGAAAGTTCCCCGAAGTTTTCCCGCCTCTTAAGCAAATAACCCTTGCATACATTTCTATAATCAAGTAATTCTGTCCCGATTCATTGTTGATTGCCTTTCTTCGATCTGAGATCAAACAATTGTTGAAACCACTAACAAGTTTTGAATAAAATTTGTGATTTATTTTTAAGAACAAAAACACATCATTTGATTTTAGGAAATAAAGATGCAAAGTTTGTCATTTTCTAGGAAATAGACTGCAAGGCTTTAACATAATTTGTTTTTAGGAACTGATGAAAAATGCAAAGATTATTGGTTTCTAGTAAATAGATTATAAGATTTTATGCTAAAAAACCAGTTATTATTTGTTTTAATCTTTACTACAACTCCTTTACCTAGTCCTTACACTAGCATTCAGATTAATTGCTGCGTATTTAAGCCGAGACTTTCTGACAGTCTCGTGTTGCTGTTATACTTAACTATCGCTAGCTTTGCCAACCTTATTCCGACTTCAGCAACTTGCTAGCCGACATTTAAAATAAGCACTGCTATTTACCTTGGGCCAATTTAAGTAGTCCCTTTTATATGTAATCTCTGACTACTTTACCAGTATTTGAATTTAATGCATCTTACGTTAATTTAAACACTCGCAAATTACGGAGCTTTGTCTGCCACACAAGCAGTGCCTTTTTGTTTTCCGTTCATTTGCTCATTTCTGTCTTTTTTAAGAATTAAATAAAAATATTATTTTAACCTTCTCACAGGCTTCTAGGTACACCAGAACTTTACAAGACCATAAAAGTTCTTTGGTGTTTATGTATTATCGTAACCACCTTTATTGAAGTCGCCAAAATCTGGCAACCAAACGTGTAGCAGTTGTTTAGATAATCATATCAATTATAAGTTTCAATTCAAAAACTCGCCGAATCAACTTTATTTCTGTAAAAAGTTGTCAAACTGTACCATGTTGGTTGAGCTAATACGTAAGTACCAGTTCCTTCATTTAGAAAAGTCATTCTTTGTGTAACACTCCAGAGAAATTGCACAACAATTTATGCAACAGAATTTGAGATTACGCTTAAAAAAGGAAGGAAATATGCGGAAATTATATGAAATTAAAGAATGTATTTACACTCTTTAAATTAGAGAATTAAATTATGCATAATTAATGAAGATATAATATATTCATATTTATTACATACAATCAAATTTATTCTTCATTATTAACTTATTAATGAAGAAGACAACAAAATTGCTTTAATTAAATATTCTTTATTATTGTATATATAATTAAAGAAGATTCTAAATAGATTATATATATCATAAAAATTTCATAAGTTTTGAAGCACGGAATCAAAAATCTGGAAATTAACTAATTACCTGTACATTTATTAAATAAACTTGAAATGTAACCTATCCAAAACATTTTAATATTGTATTACTATCTTTTGTTAATGCTCAAGGTTAGTTATATTTTGTTCATGCTTATGGATTCGTTAGCTTCAATTTTAATGCATTTTAAGGGTAAAACTGTGACAGAGAAAAATGACTTTATTAAAATATACATACATTTTATAAAAATTAATAAGTTATAAATCGCCTCTTTAAAAAATGAAGTACAAGATTTTGATTTTCTTCATACGGCATGGAGTTTAAACGTGGTTTCCCCAAGCGATTTCACAGCAATTAATATATTAAACTAACTCATATATTCTAACCATAAGTCGCACAGAGTTTATAATGTATCTTCCACTCTTTGCTACTCATCTTCATTTTGGCATGGAGAATGCTTCTGCAGAAAAACTTCCCATCTAAAGCAAGTGATGCTGCGAAAGCTTCAACTGTGTATCTGTAACCGACTCTCAAATTTATCCAATCGGAGTTCTGTTCCTCATTCTGCAGCACGTACAAGACTGTGCCATATTTGTTGAGCTCTTTTCTTATTTTGTGCCAAGATGTATTCGCGCTAAGTCCTTCAACGAAGATCTCAGTCCCTTTTTGCACGTCTTCCGAGTTGAGCTGTGACTCGATTCTCCCAATTCGCGACAGATGAAGGGGCACCGACACAGGAATCACTGTAGAATCGCCGGCTATAAAAGAATCTTTGAAGATTTTTGAGAAATTCACAATATGCTTATAAGTCACTAAGGCACCTGTCCAGAAGCTGGCCCACGGTGATACGGTACCTAGGAAATAAAATACGAAATTACTAATTTGAGGAGAATTTTAGAAATTTCGGATACGCATTTACCGATTAATTGATAATTTGAAATTTTAGTGCTCGTACAATAGTTGCGAAATGATTGGCAACATTTTGCAGATTTCATGTGCTTCTTTTGCTTTTAAAACATCTGCGCACAAATTCTAACGAACATCTGAGATCATTTTCCAACACTATCACAAAAACTTTATACGCATAACGTGCTGTTATTTGTAATGAGGTTTATGTGAAATGATTTAATTACTGATTTCTTACCTGTATTAACACTTTACTTGTGTACTTTCCGATCCAGAATGTTCGGCAAACAAAACTATGCTAAACAAAGTGAATTGCCAGCAATGGATTAGGCTGAAATCACAACACAATCTTCGTCTTGATGCCCACCAGCGGCCGAGCGGTAAAGACGCTGAACACTGGTAGTTCGGTCCGAGGTTCGAATCCGGCGAACGGGTTGGCTGCATGGGCGTTTTCATGGATTTCCCCATGTGTAACATGTATATGAGCCATTTTCCCTTAGAAAGTCCTCCACGAAGGCATCCCTCCCTTTAGGTAGATAGCCGTCGTGTGCTTTGCCATAATAGAGTAATCCTAATCCTTCGCGTTGATTTTATGCAACCCAGATTAATCCTGGATACGAGTATTAGCTTTTGTAAAGATCTAAGTTTAATTTATTACTTTGTAAAGGAAGATGTAAGTTTAGTTTAATTTAGTTATTATTTTAGTTTTGTAAGGCGATACCTTACGTATTACCTCAACCGCCTTGGTAAAATTCTCCAATTTTCAGAATGCATTTATGAGCCTACAGTTCTTCAGTTTTAACTAGCATTGCTGTCCTTTTCATACCCTTTCATTTTGTGCTAGCGCATGCTTTAATGATTTTTATTCATAAACCGTAATATTTTTTATTTTAAACTTTTTAAATGATGGTCTTATGGGATATGCCTGCAGTGGACGAAACTGCCTAATAATCACTGAAAAAATACAGAAATTTGCTACGAAATTGTTAAAGGAAGCAATTGCTTTATATCTGTAGCTCAATACACCGACATTTCCACCAGAACAAAAGAAACGAAAACTTGATAATCAGCTTATGCTTATTTTCAGGATAAATTACTAATTAAAGAATAAAAATATATGCAATGACATCTAGGTAATAAATAAATTTTTTTGTAAACATAAATTATCATTTTTTCCCGTAATATATCGCCAAAGTGCGCCAATGCATAAGTACCGATATCAGTTAACTGCTATTTCTTTAATATTTTTCATGCATTTTGACAAATGTTTAAAATTTGGGATCTGCCTTCTGCGAAACAACATGCAATAGAGTATTTTGAAAGTTACAGGATCATAGCATCAAAAATAGTGCGCGTTTGGTTACAACGTGGGACTTTATTTGAAAATGGATAAACAATGGCCACAACATGAAAAATAGTGAAACGTGAATATTCATTCAAAAAAGAAAATGTGGTTTTGAGAGTTAAAAATAAATTGTTTTATACCTAACTTGTATGTCATGATTATCTAAATAAATAAGTAGCAATATCTTCCTTCAAACTTCCACTCGAATAACTGTCGCAAGTTTGGTGGGATCTCACCATTCTTCATAGTAAAGCACATAAGTACCAAAATTCCCTTTTGCGATTAAAACTACAATTTATTAAGTAAATTTAATATATATAGTATACTTCTTCCCCCCTTCTTTCTTACATTCGGTTTTTACATTGATGATAGGTAGATGCTTATAAATTCTATGCCAATTTAATTTTTTTTCCTAATTTTTAATATTTATTGACATAGAGAAAGCTGCAACTCATATATGAAAATCGTGGCGCAAGTTAAGAGAGATTGCTGAAATCATTAATACGGAACCTACTGCAAATTTTAAGATTACAGTAGACATCGCTTAATGTGATAACAGTTAATATTATCATTCGGATATTGTCATCGATTAGCAGAAGTTCCGCTCGTTTCTATACGAAAACATCTATGTATATGATAAAAGAAAGAGTTTGTCTGTGTGGAGTCTTTCGTTCGTGTTGCGCGTAAGCTAATAGACCCCAGGGCTACGAAATTTGGTGCGTAAGTGCATCTAGACAAGAGCCAGGGCACCTCGAAGCGGTTTTTCCAAAATTTGAATGAGATATTTTTATTATTTTATGTTTTTTGATGAAAGCGCATCAAACTGATAATTCTGTCTCATTATATGTATTAGCAACAATGGTACGCAGCTATTGGTGGCATAGGGCAAAAAAGCTTAAGAAATCCTGGAATATACAGTACATAAATGAAGCACTGCACATGATACTATGCATAAATGTTTTCTTCAATGGCAATTTTTCAGCATACTCTGACTTCTCTGATTTTTGTTTGGTAATCTATTTCGACCTCTTCGCATGTATTTCCAATTCGACTACGTTAGCCGATTTAATAGCGTCTTTGTTTTCCACAATAACAGGTCTAATCGAACTCCACATATTGTATATAATAGCCAAATCCTAGATATGCCATATTCCTATTTTTCAACAACTTCTTTTTTCATTTCTATAATAATTTTAACAATTTTCTTTATTGCTTGACTCTCCTCTCTTAAAATTAATTACTAACGAATTTCCAAAATATTTACCCAAATAAATACAAAATTGCTTGAAGATTTAGATACTAAGAGCGGTTTGTTTACCGGATAGTAGCAAGAGGCGTACTGATGCAAATGGACAGTCGTAGCATTATCTCGAAAGAGTTCACCAAATGTGCGCGTAGTCGTGATTCTATGAATTTGAGTCGTATTCCAAACAAATGTCGTATACCAATCATACATTTCCCGCATCCAGGGTGTCAAGGAGAAAACATCGCAAGGAGAAAACGTCGTGGGAGGAAAGAATGCAAAGAGAAAAGCTCTAAAATATCGTGGTACTAAAATATCGTGGTAAAATAATATCGTCGTCGAAAATAAAGCGGTTCAATAACTTCGCAGCTTCACTAGAATGGCGGTAGGGGTCCTTTTGACCCCTTAACACTTTTGACCGTTGAATATTATTATTATATATATTATAAAAAATATTATTATATAAATTATGTTTTATTTTAGTTAACATTAGTTTTAATTTGTGAAACTATTTATTTGAAATCAATTCTTATATCAAATTAAAGAGTTATTTGAGTAACTGTAGTATGATCCAATTGATCGCCATGTATTCAATACATTTACAATATTTTAAAAAGTCAATAAATTATCATGTGATATTAAATATAAATTATGAAACACATATAAAGCACATATTTGTGCCAATGTATGGCATTTAAAATTGTTTTGCCGTTGTTATTTCAACACTTTCTTCGAAAGGGTCAAAATGACCCCTTACCGCTGTTCCAGCAGGTAAGATTTTTCCCGCCATTCTAGTGTTAAAAACATCGCTGTCAAACATATTGTGGTAAAAAGTCATTCAAGTCATCGCATGACGAAAACATTGCAGACGTTCGTTTATCAGGCTTTAAATGTTGTAAATGCATATTCACATAATGATTTGTGAGCGCAAGAAGGAAAGAGGAATATATTTATGTTTATAATTCATAATTTTGAATTAAGTAATATATTCTTGCTGAAAAAGTGAGAATGATACCTGAGCTTAAAAATTGAAAATGAGCAGAAAATTAATGCAACGTATAGCACTTAATAGAAGTTTTAAACTTATATAGTTAACTGATAAAGGTCATAATTAAATTAATTTTTTATAAAGTTTTATTGATAATTTTTCATGAAAATATATTCTAAAAAACGTTTGAAAAAAGGAAGATTTGTAACTGTATGAGATTACCTCTATAAAAATTGTTTAATTAATTGCCAAATTATTTTCTTTCCCGTTTATTAACCTGATTTTTTCGGTGAAAATTATACGTTTTGGTTCCGTTGTTTCTGATAACAGAAATAAACATACGTTTAATCATTATGCGAGATGACCACCTCCACACAAGATTGGAAAGTTATAGTATCTTGAGTGGTCGCTTTATAGAGGATTCTTTATATTTAACTTTTAAGTTTAGAGATTTCTTGCGAGCACTTTAAAAGTGTTATTTAATTTTGACTGAATTTTATAGTTATTGGCTGAACTTTTATAAAACATGAAGAGAACCATTTTCTTAAGAAAAATATCTGTATAAATGACCAATGTAGTTTGAAACCTTGGCATTTAATCTCATGTTTTCAAGACGACCAGTTTCACAGAAGAAAAAATCACTTCCAACCGTAAAAGGTCACACTAGAGTAGGGTTAACTGAACTTTCACTTTTCGGTTTATTTATGTCCTTTAGTAAACATTTAATTTTTTGATTCCTTTATGTGAAGAAATTTCAATTATTTCCCTTTCTTTCTTAAAACATAGTTAATTATTTCGTAGCAAGTGGAAGTGACGTACATATTGATAGGTAGATATTTTATCATGGCTGCCACTAAACTATTGTGGAATTACCACTTAGATTTGGTTTGGTTTATTTTATAATGGCAAAGCACACTAGGACTTATGCCTTAAGAGGAGGAATGCTTTCGTGGAGAATTTTCTCTCTAAGACGTTCACAATTCATTATGCGAATATGCATTTACAAGTTTTCAAGCATGATAACAGCATGTTTGCGCCATGCGGTGATTTGTAGGAGCTTTATTTTGTACCGCGATGTTTTCGAACTGCTATGTTTTTCTCTTTGCTTTCTTTTCTCCCACAATGTTTTGCACCATGACTTTTTCGCTCTGAGTTGCTTTCTCTGCGATATTTTCGGCTGTAATCGCATCCAGACAGGTTTTTATATCAAGCTGGACATATATAAACGCGGATGTGTACCGAGGCGCTACTGTATTTTACAATTTAAGAATAATATTTGTACAAAATTTTATCGATTCTATCTCTAAGAGAATATTAATATTTGAGTGAATGTGACATTTATAAGGTTCTGAGCTCCAGTAAATGCACCAGGTATGAATAATGTTCGAAAAAATATGAAATGGTAAAGTTCATAAAAATCCGAATTTCAACTGTTATGTCATGGAAAATTTATTAACTATGGGAAAAACACTAAGGCTTTGTAAGTTCATGAAGAAAGAGAACTGTTTCTTATATAAATAAAATGTGACATAAAAATTTAGTTTTACCTTTCTGAAGTGTCCAGTGGTCTTGTATTCTTGACACAGTGCCATAAGTACTGAACTTCCTGACTATTATGTCAATATCCTGAACAGCTTTTGATCTGAAAGCCAAAGCAAAATTTACGCACCGGTCAAATATAACAGACAACTGACCAGCAGATGTAACTGGAGATCTCTCGATGCAGGGTGGATGATTTGCAGGGTTGGCAGGGCTCATGTGGCAAAGTTTCATAATCTTTCGATGTTTACTCCTGCGTTTGCCACTGACCTTCGTGTAGTAACTATCAAGGTTTCTGCACTTATCCGCTTTAAGTAAAGAAGTATGTTTGTATCGAAGTTTCTTAGAAGACAAATCGCCCACTTTATTTTCACTATGAAAAGATACTTCCATTGGGTAAGGTAAAGAGTATTGAAACTCATGTTTAGTTTTACCGATATCAATGTTATTTTCTTCGATGACTGAATACTTTGCTTTCTTGAAAGGAGGCTAAAAAGAAAGGAGATTTAAATTTATTTTCATCATTTATTTTATTTTAAAAATAGCATTTAAAACAGAATGTTTTCCGAAATTGTAACAGATATTAGAAGAGGTATATTAGAAATAAAAGTACTTACGTATTAGCGAAAACGCCTTGGCGAGATTCGGTAATTTTTTTTCAAAAAAAAAAAAAAAAAAAAAAAAAAAAAAAGAATTACGACTACACTAATTGCAAAAAAGTTATTTAATACGTGCAAACATATTATTATATAAAATTTTATGTTTTAATCAGATATATTACTAAAAACACAAACAATAAACCTACTTAAAGGAAGGGCGTTTCAATTTTTTTTTTCCTTCCCATTCTCTTCTTTTGTTTTAGTGAAAATTTCTTGAAAATTATTTTAAGTATAGATTTAAAGAAACTCCATTTGGCGAATTTGGGGTAAAATAGTGTATTTCTGCAGAAATTTTATCTCTGTATTTTTCACAAGGCAAATCTCACATAAATTACTGAAATTCAGACAAAAAAAAAAAAAAAAAAAAAAAAATCTCATTGTCGATAAAGACGGTAATATAACAAAAATAACGTGTTGAAAAGGGCAATATTTCTTGTTAAAAATACCGAATCGTTATGCGCATGGTTGCCATAGTTTGGCCTGAATTCTGAAATTTGGCAATTTTTACTAAGGATGTTGCGCTAATACGAAACTACCAAAATAACAGCTAAAATAACACTTAAGGAAAGAAAAGTACTTATAGTATTCTAACTTTTATTCAGAAGATTTCATTGATAAATGAATGTACAGATTATTGATATGTACAGATTATTTGAATTAAAAATCATAGACACAGATTAAGAAATACGGCATTGTCAAATTTTTTAATTTTCTTCTTAGATATGAAAATAAAGCTTAAAGGTAATTAACATAATTGCAAAAAATATAACAAAACTTCCTATACAAGCGATTTACTATAAAATTATTAAAAATGAAATCACTATTGAGAAATTTTGTTAAATGCCATTTTTCATGTAAAATGATAATCACATTATAAGGTTTATCCTAAGTTGTTAACAGTTATCTTTAATTAAAGTTACTTTCCTATCCCTTCTAATTTCAGCTTAAAAAATATCCGGCCAGAGTGTATTTCTAGAATCGCTGTTAAATGCAAATGAAGGAAGAGCAGTATTTAAATTCGAAGTTCTACTGACTTCGTTAGACACATTCAGCCTTCAGCCGTCGTGCGAGTAGTTTGTGCTCTGACTTTGTCTCTGAACGTGTGCTTGACTTTGCTGCTGCTTTTTGCCTTCATTATGTCAGAGAGCGTACCGCAGTACTGCAGTACCAGCATACTAAAGTATGCTGGTACTGCAGATCTCTATATCGTGGACTGTTGCTGTATTTTCTCTATTGTGCGTCAATATGGACCGCATCACAGATTTTATTGCTGCCGAGATCACGAATCTGGAATGTATTAAAGAAGCTGATGGCCAACTATCTGATAAGGATGAACGCGATCTCAAGTTCTTCCGCAGATTAAAGATTTTCGTCGAAGGGGAAATTCGTTCTGAACGTACTACGACGTCTTCACTACCTAAACCGAACATCCCTACAGTTAAACCTCAGAATATTCCCTCATCAGGAAATAAAATTAATTCCGGGAAAGCTACAAGCTCTGCTAGATCCGATGAAGAGGAGTCCAAGAAATACAAAGCACTCGATGAGGAAACCTCCGACTCAGATTCAGGTCCCAAAGGAGACGTCACCAAGAGGCCCCCAAAACATCCAAGAAAACCCGCTCAAACGGAGCTACCTGATTCGTCGAAAGAAATGACTCCCGAGCAACCAGCTCCTGAAAACACGGAAGTTGTCTCGGATCTCCAGCCAGCCAATCAGGACGTTCCTGAATCTAAACGCACTCCGCCGATCATTGTTAAGGACCAAAAATTCCATTTTATTAAATTACAAGGAGTTCTTGCTGGATACAACCTATCCCCCTACAAGGATTACCACGGACAACAGATTAAAGGTGGATTTAAAATTCAAGCCTATAACCTCACCATATATAAGCAATTCGTCAAAGTCCTCACTGACGAAGCTATCTCTTTCCACTGCTTTGAGCTACCGGAATCGAAGCTTGTAAAGGCGGTTATCCGTCACCTTCCATCCTATATCACCTGCAATGAAATATCAGATGAACTCGCTGATAGAGGATATAAAATTGAACGCGTCGATCAGTTAAAACGCAGGAGAGACGGGGAAATAATCAAACTACCGCTTTTTCTCGTAAGCCTTGAGAAAAAGGAGAAGAGCGGAGACATCTTCCATGAAAAATTCATGCTTGGCATGAAAATCGAAGTTGAACGCTACAAAGGAAGAGCGGGCCCCCTGCAGTGTTTCCGTTATCAGGGTTTTCACCACGCCCAAAATCATTGTCACCACGCTGCTCGCTGCGTCAAATGCAGCGAAAACCATCAATCTTTTATGTGCCAAAAAGACAAATCTGCCCCGCCTAAATGCGCGAATTGTTGTGAAATAGGGCGTACTGCAAACTATAGAGGGTGCATAAAGTTTCCCAAGCAAAAAACTTCCACTCTGAAATTCTATGCCGATAGATTCGTGACCAATAAATCCTTCTCGCAAGCCCAAGTTCTGGGTTAGCTCCTGTGAATGTTACAGAAGCCAAACAAGTCCTGCAGGAACTCAAAACATTCGTCGCACTCATCAAGGAATCCGGACTACCCCTACTATTCCAGCAGCTCACCGCTGACAAAAATACCACTGCAGATCGCGCCGAACGTGTTACAAAATAATGAACTACCGGCCCTTAAGTGTGTCGCCTATCAAACTTTGCATTTGGAATGCTAATGCACTTAAAGGCAGGTTTTTAGAGTTTCAACAATTTTTATACGATCACGATGTCGATATTGCGTTGGTTACCACGCGCAAAGGTGTCACAGCCTGAAAATAGTGAATTTCAGAGTTTACAGATGTGATCGTGTTAGTTATCGTGGTGGTGGTGTGTGTATATATGTAAAAAGTATTTTTCCTTCATGTCTTATTAGTGAATCAAGTGACTTCAACATGGAAGTTGTAACTATTTGTGTTTCTCTACCTACCTTTAACAAATTATATTTCAGTGCATGTTATAATCCACCTCAAAATAGACTGTGTGATAATATTCTTAAAAGACTCTTACCTGAGAACTTGCCGACCATTGTAGCAGGTGATCTAAATGCTAAGAACACAGCCTGGAACTGCAGGAAAACCAATCCTAATGGCAAGGTTCTGCACGATTATATTATTAATAATCCTATCTCAATCTATGGCCCACCAGCGGCCGAGCGGTAATGTCGCTGAACACTGGTAGTTCGGTCCGAGGTTCGAATCCCGGAAACGGGCTGGCTGCATGGGCGTTTTCGTGGTTTTCCCCATGTGTAACGTGTATACGAGTCAGTTTCCCTTAGAAAGTCCTCCACGAAGGCATATCTCCCCTTAGGCAGATAGCCCTAGCGTAATCTTAATAAACCAAACCAAACCATCTCAATCTATGTGCCTGACGACTACACGTATAGGCCAGAGCGCATTAAACTCTCAGATATCCTGGACCTAGCGCTCTCGACTACTTCTCTTTCAATGGTGCTAGATGTAACACACCTTCCCATCATAGCAAATATTTGCATATCTAAAGCAATTACTAAGGCATATCGAAGCAGAGTTGATTGGACTCTCTTTCAAAATTTACTCATCGATAGCAATTTGGCATTAGATAATCTTCATGATAAGCAAGGCATAGATACAGCAATCGACAAAGTGACGCAGACCATCCAGGCAGCTATCTCCGAAGCAAATGAGCGTCTTAGTGCAAAAGATAACGCTTTCCGCCTCCCTCGCAGCACTCGTGACAAGATGCGGCAACGCAATAGGCTCCGTAAGGAGTATCACGTGACTTGGGATCCCCAAATCAAAAGAGCAGTAAATCGGCTCAGTAAAGAAATTAGAAAGGAAATTAATAACTTTAAAGACGAAATATGGATTGATAAAATCTCTAATCTCCAACGCACAAGGACGGCTCTTTATGGAAAATAGTTAAAAATTTCAAGGGCCCTTATGCCAACGAATAAACCTATTATCTACAGTGGGAACTCTGCAATCACAAATCAAGAAAAAGCTGACTCTTTCGCATCTCATGTGGAGGAGCAATTTACACCTAATTTGACTCCCTGCGATGCAAATCTCGAACAAGAATCCCTTCCTAAAATTCAAAATTGGCTAATTTCCCCTACCGTTAAAAATCTCATTCCACTCTCCATCCCGGAAGTGTTCCTCAATATCAAGAAGCTCAAACCAAGAAAGCTCCTGGCATTGACGGAATTACAAACAAATCCATTAAATTTCTGCCACCCAACTTTATATGCAAAATTACTGGCATTTTCAATGCAGCACTCACCAACTGCTACTTCCCTGCCGCTTGGAAGACTGCTAAAATTATTATGAACTCGAAACCAGGCAAAAACCATACGCAAACTGATGGATACAGCTCTATAAGTTTTCCTCCAGTCCTTAGCAAAATATTTGAAAGAATAATCCTCTCTAGAATCCAACATCACCTGAATTCACTTCCGCCTGAGCAAGTTGGATTCAGAAAAAAGCTCTCTACGACGAAACAACTCGTTCGAATCACTGAATTTACTGGATCGGCACTGCATAACATATTAATAACATGAGATGTGGCTATGCTCATGTTAGACGTGGCGAAAGCCTTCGACCGCGTTTGCATGAGGGATTAATCATCACATTGATGGGATTTCACTTTGAACCTGAGCTTCTTCACATCCTCTACTCCTTCATCACCCAGAGGACTTTCAAAGTCTGCGTGAATGATGCCTTTTCTACTGAAAGAAGGATTAAAAGCGGTATCCCTCAGGGCTGTGTTTTAGGTCCTGTCATGTATCTTTTCTATGCTGTAGATTTCCCTAAAATCGACTCTTCAAACTGCATCCTGGC